CACTTTCGAGCAAGTTCCTGCCCCACCCTGGACGCAGCAGCCGCCTGGGAGCTGCCGTGAGGAATCCGCGTTAGGGCTTGCGGGGGCCGATGGCGGGCGGTCTGGGCACGGTGCCCGTGAGGGCTTGTGGGGTGCTGCCGGCGGAGCAGGGACACGTGTGCCCCAGGGGGCCCGGTGTCCCCTCCCGGCCTGGTGGCGATGGTGGGGAGCTCTGGCAATGGTTTGTGGGAGGTGACGGCTGGGTTCGGCCACTGCTCTTAGGCCTTTGAGGCACGAATAGGAGTTTTCTAGGTGGAGAAGGAGCCGGGTGTCTGGCTGATGAGCCAACACACACAGAGGCGTGCAGTGCGTTTGGGGTGACGCCAGCAGGTCATTCTTGCGGGCGCCTGGGGGCTATCAGTCAGCTGAAGACAGCCGTGGTTGGTGGCCATGAGCTGCTGCAAGGGCTCTGTCTGGCCGTGGCCCCGTGCGATCTTGGCAGTCCCAGAGTCCCGGGTGAGCAATTCTTTTTCGACGTGCACCCGAATCCGCTTCCTAGTTCTGTGTTTTTTGTTTTTTAAAGATTTATTTATTCATACAGAACTGGGGTACAGGCCAGAGATGCGGAGGGTGAGAGGCTTCACCAGGAACAGAGCGGGGAGCAGAACAGGCGGATCCATGAAGCACACTGCTGAGGGGAGCAGCGGCGGGTCAGGAGGGGTCTGCCGCGCCTTGGGTCACCTCCGGGGCAGGCGGGGATCGAACTCATGCGGAAGCGGCTTTAGCTGCTTAGTGCTGCGCTGTGACCTGCTGCGCCCCAGGGAGGGCCCAGTTCTGTGTGTTCTTTAAGGACTTCCTGTCTGATTGCCTAGGGCACAGGAGGCTTCCTCCCATTATTTAGCTGGCCATGACCCGGGCTGGGACTGTCAGCCCTGCACTCTGCGGGGAGTCCCTTCTGGGATGTGGGGTGACACATTTGTGGCGTTGTCTTGTAAAGGGCTTGAGGGGAAAGCGAGCAAGGCACGAAGCTAGTGCAGCGGGCTGGGCCGGGGGCGGGCCGGGCAGCCTGTGGCTCCGGTGCTGGCCGCAGCCCCTCTGCTCCGCTGTGCCAGTCGCAGCTTTGCCCAGATGTCTGCTTGTCAGCCCGCAGGACGCCGCTGGCAATCCTGGGGTGGCGGGAGAGGATGGAGGCAGGCCTTGGGCGGGCCCTCTGGCTCAGCCGAGCAACGAATAGGCGCCTGCTGCATACAGGAACTGGGCTGGACTCTGACAAGGAAGCGCTGAGGCCTATCTGAGCTGGCAGAGGCGGCCGGCCAGACAGAGGAGGCCGGCGGGACGGGGGAGGCCGGAGGGACCAGGGAGGCTGCCTGGACAGAGGAGGCTGGCGGGACTGGGGAGGCCAGTGGGACCGGGGAGGCGGTGGGACGGGGGAGGCCAGTGGGACCGGGGAGGCCGGCGGGACGGGGAAGGCCAGTGGGACCCGGGAGGCGGCGGGACGGGGGAGGCTGGTGGGATAGAGGAGGCCAGAGGGACCGGGGAGGCCAGCTGGACTGGCTGCAAGGCTCTGTTGCGGGGAGGACTGGGGGCGTGTGGGCAAGCTGTTTTATTCCTGCTGCGCTCATTTCTGCATGTGAGATAAAGTCTAAGTAGCCCCTTGGGCGGTGAGTTTGTGTTATTGCTCAGAATACGGCCGAAGTCATAGCCAACTTGGTACACGTCAGTCATTTTCAAGAAAAATACGGAGGAACAAAGGTGCAAGGAGAGCCGGGGGCTGTTTGGGGCCGGGACCCCTCCACCTGAGCGCCTCGGTGCTGACTGGCGCGCGGGTGGGAGCGGGGCGAGTCCGCACCTGCGCAGAGAGGCGGCGCCCGGAACTGGGCTTCGGGGTGCCCCCGCCTTACACGCCCATTTCCAAGGATGAAATGGAGGCCCAGGGAGGCGAGACGTGGCCCAGCGTCACACCGCGAGTGAAAGAAGAACGGGGTGCACGCGGGCTGGGGGAGCCCTGCAGGCTGCCCGGCCGCGCCCTGTGCCCTGTGGCCCGGCCCTGCCCTGTGCCCTGTGGCCCGGCCCCGCCCTATGCCCTGTGGCCAGGGCCGGTGTGGAGCAGGTGGCTGCGGCCTGGGTGGGGCTCGGGCGCCCGCGGATTTGCCTAGGAGCTGTGGAGGCGGGGAGCCGAGGGCGCGTGGAGGCGGCTTGCGCAGGAGCTGGGTCTAGCTCAGCCCTTGGCGGGTGGGGGCCCCCCAGGGGAGCCCCGGGACTGCTGCGAGCGTGCCCTGCGGTAAGTGCAGTGCAAGACCCAGGCTTGTGGCCTGGCCGAGCCAGGCGTTGGAGCAGGAGCCTTCTGTCCCCGCGTTCACTGGACGGCTCAGGCTTCCAGCCCCGGGCGTCTCCACGCCGCAGGGGGGTGCGGGGTGC